CCCCGCAAAACCCGGGGGGGGGGGGGGGGAGAAACGGCCCCAGAAATGGCTCAGAACGCCCCAAAAATGGTTCAGAATATCAAAAAAATGGCACAGAACATCCAAAAAATGGTTCAGAATACCCCAAAAATGGTTCAGAATATCCCAAAAATGAACCAGGACCCCAAAACACGGGGGGTCACCGGGAGGGACCCCCCGAAAAACCCCGGAAAAACCCCGGGAGAGGGGGAGGAGAAATGGCCCCAAAATGGCTCATAACACACCAAAAATGGTTCAGAATATCCCAAAAATGGCTCAGAACCCAACAAAAATGGATCAGAATATCCCAAAAATGGTTCAGAATATCCCAAAAATGGTTCAGAACGCCCCAAAAATGAACCAGGACCCCAAAACACGGGGGGTCACAAGGAGGGACCCTCCGAAAAACCCCAAAAATCCCCGGGAGAGGGGGAGCAGAAATGGCCCCAAAAATGGCTCAGAACCCCCCAAAAGTGGATCAGAATATCCCAAAAATGGTTCAGAATATCCCAAAAATTAATCAGGACCCCAAAAAATGGGGGGGGTTACCGGGAGGGACCCTCCGAAAAACCCCAAAAATCCCCAGGAGACGGGGGGGAGGAACGGCCCCAGAAATGGCTCAGAACGCACCAAAAATGGTTCAGAATATCCAAAAAATGGCACAGAACATCCAAAAAATTGTTCAGAATATCCCAAAAATGGTTCAGAACGCCCCAAAAATGAATCAGGACCCCAAAACATGGGGGGTCACCGGGAGGGACCCCCCGAAAAACCCCGGGAAAACCCCGGGAGAGGGGGAGGAGAAATGGCCCCAAAATGGCTCAAAACGCACCAAAAATGGATCAGAATATCCCAAAAATGGCTCAGAACCCAACAAAAATGGCTCAGAATATCCCAAAAATTAATCAGGACCCCAAAAAATTGGGGGGTCACAAGGAGGGACCCCCCGGAAAATCCCCAAAAATCCCCGGGAGAGGGGGGGGAGAAACGGCCCCAAAAATGGCTCAGAACGCACCAAAAATGGTTCAGAATGTCCCAAAAATTAATCACGACCCCAAAAAATTGGGGGGTCACAAGGAGGGACCCCCCGGAAAATCCCCAAAAATCCCCGGGACAGGGGGAGCAGAAACGGCCCCAAAAATGGTTTAGAACATCCAAAAAATGGTTCAGAATATCCCAAAAATGGTTCAGAATATCCCAAAAATGAATCAGGACCCCAAAAAATGGGGGGGTCACGGGGAGGGATTCCCCAAAAAAATCCTGGGAGAGGGGAACGAACAGGGTAGGTGGGAAAGGGGGGAGGGAACTGTCCCAAAAATGGCTCAGAACGCCCCAAAAATGGTTCACAATATCCAAAAAATGTCTTGGGGACTTCCCAGAAATGAACAGGGACCCCAAAAAATGGGGGGGTCACGGGGAGGGACCCCCCCAAAAGATCCTGGGAGAGGGGGAGGAACGGGGGAGGTGGGAAGGGAGGGGAAGCAGCCTGAAAACGTCCCAAAAATGGATCAGAACGTCCCAAAAATGGCTCAGAACGTCCCAAAACTGGCTCAGAATCCCCAAAAATTAATCAGGGATCCCAAAATTCCCAAGAACCCCCCAAAAATTAACTGGGAAACCCCCAGAAATTAACTAGGGACCCCCACAAATGCCCCAGGACCCCCCCCCGACCTCCTCGCGGTGCCCGTCGGGGTCCTCGACGTAGACCAGCACCTCCCCCTGCCCCGCGCTGATCGTCTCCACCGTGAACTCGGCGCGCTGCTGCACCACGTTCCCGGTGGGCTCGATCCCTGGGAGACCCCAGACCCAAATCAGGGTCCTGGACCGAGCTCGGGGGGTCCCAGAGCCACCCCAAGGGTCCTAAACCCACCCCAAGGGTCCTAAACCCACCCCAAACCCACCCTAAATCCCATGATCCCACCCAAACTCAGGGCGCTGCTGCACCACGTTCCCGGTGGGCTCGATCCCTGAGAGACCCCAGACCCAAATCAGGGTCCCGGACCAACCTTGGGGGGGTCCCAGAGCCACCCTGGGGGTCCCACACCCACCCTGGAGGTCCCAGAGCCACCCCGGGGGTCCTAAACCCACCCTAAACCCCCTGATCCCACCCAAACTCAGGGCGCTGCTGCACCACGTTCCCGGTGGGCTCGATCCCTGGGAGACCCCAGACTCAATTCGGGGTCCTGGACCGACCTCGGGGGGTACCACACCCACCCTGGGGGTCCTAAACCCACCCCAAACCCACCCTAAACCCACTGATCCCCCCAAACTCCGAAGCTGCTGGACCTTTTTGGGGTCACATTTGGGGCTCCCCATTTCCCATCTCCCACTCCCCAAACTCGGGGGTCCCGGGGCTCCCGGGGGTCTCAGGGGTCCTGGGGGTTTCAGGGGGGTCTCAGGGGGTCTCAGACCCCCCCTCACCTGGCCCGTAGGCCCGGGCCTTCTTGGGGTTGAGTTTGGGGCTCCCCATTTCCCTTGTCCCACTCCCCAAACTCGGGGGTCCCGGGGGTCTCAGGGGTCCCGGGTGTCCTGGGGGGTCTCTGGGGGTCTCGGGGGTCCCGGGGGTCTCAGACCCCCCCTCACCTGGCCCGTAGGCCCGGGCCTTCTTGGGGTTGAGTTTGGGGCGCAGGGGCGCCCCCGGCTTGAGCTTGGCCTTGGGGAACTGGGACAGGTACGTCATGACCGAGTGCTCGTCCACGTTGGGGTCCACGATCTCCTCGGGCGTGATCACCTGCACGGGGAGGGGACAGGGACATCAGGGGACAGGGACATCAGTGACACCCCGTGACAGGGACAGGGACAGCAGTGACACCCCGGGGTGATCACCTGCATGGGGACAGGGACATCAGTGACACCCCGGGACAGGGACAGGGACAGCAGTGACACCCCAGGGTGATCACCTGCACGGGGACAGGGACAGGGACATGGGACAGGGATAGGGACAGCAGTGACACCCGGACAGGGACAGCAGAACAGGGACAGGGACAGCGTCAGTGCCACCCGGGACAGGGACAGGGACATCAGGGGACAGGGACAGCGTCAGTGCCACCCGGACAGGGACAGGGACAGGGACAGCAGAACAGGGACAGGGACCCAAGTGCCACCCGGGGTGATCACCTGCACGGGGACAGGGACAGGGACAGTGTCAGTGCCACCCGGGACAGGGACAGGGACAGCAGTGACACCTGGGGTGTGTGTCACCTGGGCAGGAGAGGGGACAGTAACAGGGGACATCAACACAGGGACAGGAGCACAGGGGTGTGTGTCACCCCCAGGTGTGTGTGTCACCTGGGACAGGGCCAGTGTCCCGTGTCACTTGAAGGGGACAGTGGCAGGGCAGTGTCCCCAGTGTCCCCGAGTAGAACAGGGGCAGTGTCCCCATGTCCCCGTGTCCCCGTGTCACCTGCGGGATGCCCAGCCACTCCTCGGCCTGCTGCATGGCCTCGCGCGCGTTCTCCACGGGGCGGCTCGGGTTCCACGAGTCCCAGTCAGGACACAGCCCTGGGGACAGCGGGGACAGGGGTCAGCCTGGCCCCAGTGTCCCCAATGTCCCCAATGCCCCCACGACAGTGTCCCCAGTGTCCCAGGCAGGGTCAGGGACAGTGGCAGTGGCGGGGCAGTGTCCCCGTGTCCCCGTGTCACCTGCGGGATGCCCAGCCACTCCTCGGCCTGCTGCATGGCCTCGCGCGCGTTCTCCACGGGGCGGCTCGGGTTCCACGAGTCCCAGTCGGGACACAGCCCTGGGGACAGCGGGGACAGGGGTCAGCCTGGCCCCAGTGTCCCCAATGCCCCCAGTGTCCTCACCCGGGGCACAGCTGTCCACCAGAGCCCCCAGGGCCCTGCCGCTCTGCCAGTCCTTGCTGAAGTTGGTGATGGGCAGAGCCCCCAGTGCCCTGTACCCCCGGTGTCCCCAGTGTCCCCAGTGTCTCCAATGTCCCCGGTGTCACTCACCCGGGGCACAGCTGTCCACCAGAGCCCCCAGGGCGCGCCCGCTCTGCCAGTCCTTGCTGAAGTTGGTGATGGGCAGCTGCGGCAGCCGGTTCTGGATCCAGCCCAGCAGCCGCTGCTTCGGCGTCTGGCGCTTGGCCTCCTCCTCATCCTCCTCGTCCCACATGGGCATGGAGATGGAGTAGTGCAGGATGAGCGTCCAGATCAGCCCCAGGATCAGCTTCAGGTTCCCGTCCACGATGGCTTTGCTGTCTGCGGGGACACGGGGACATTGGGGACAGCAGGGGACACTGGGGACATCGGGGTCACAGTGCAGGATGAGCGTCCAGATCAGCCCCAGGATCAGCTTCAGGTTCCCGTCCACGATGGCTTTGCTGTCTGCGGGGACACGGGGACATTGGGGACATCAGGGACATTGGGGGTGTGTGGGGCACTGGGGACATGGGGACACTGGGGACACTGGTGACACTGGGGACACTGGGGACACAGGGACACTGGGGACAGTGGGGACTTGTGCGGTACTGGAGACACAGGGGACAGAGGGGACACAAGGGACACAGGGACAGCAGGGACACTGGGGTCATTGGGGACACACAGGAGGACACCAGGGACATCAGGGGCATCAGGGGACACGGGGGACATGGCAGGACAGGGACATCAGGGAACTGAGGGGACACAGAGGGACACAGGGGGACACGTCATGGGGGGGACACCAGGGAATGCCCTGCAGGGACTGGGGACACTGGGGACACTCCATGGGGACAGGGGCCACCCCACAGGGACAGGCGACACCCCAAAAGGACAGGGGACATTGAGGACACCCCGCAGGGACTGGGGACATTGGGGACACCCCATGGGGACAGGGGACACCCCACAGGTACTGGGGACATTGGGGACACCCCATGGGGACAGGGGACACCCTGCAGGGATTGGGGACATGGGGACACCCCGCAGGGACCCACCAGGGGCCACCCCGGGGAGGTGACAGCTCAGTGCCACCACAGGGGTGGGGACAGGGCACGGCTCAGGTCAGGGACACCTGGGGACACCTGGGGGCACCTGGGGACATTTGGGGGCACCTGGGGACACCTGGGGCTGGGGACAGGGCACGGCTCAGGCCGGGGACACCCGGGGACACCTGGGGGCACGCAGAGGCCACAGCCCGGGGGTGACAGGGCCATCAGGGGGGTCCTGCTGGGGACAGGGGGCGCTGCTGGGGGCTTTTGGGGTCCCCGTGAAGAGTTTTGGGGTCCCCGCTGTGTCCCCAAGTCCCCGTTAGCAGTTTTGGGGTCCAGGGACACCCGGGGACACCTGGGGACAGCTGGGGACACGCTGAGGCCACAGCCCGGGGGTGACAGGGCCATCAGGGGGGTCCTGCTGGGGACAGGGGGCGCTGCTGGGGGCTTTTGGGGTCCCCGTGAAGAGTTTTGGGGTCCCCGCTGTGTCCCCAAGTCCCCGTTAGCAGTTTTGGGGTCCCGGGTGTGTCCCCAGTCCCCATTAGCAGTTTTGGGGTCCCCAAGTCCCCAGTGAGGTTTTTGGGGACAGGGGGCGCTGCGGGGGCTTTTGGGGTCCCCGTGAAGGATTTTGGGGTCCCGGCTGTGTCCCCAAGTCCCCATCAGCAGTTTTGGGGTCCCCAAGTCCCCAGTGAGGTTTTTGGGGTGTCTGGGTGTGTCCCCAAGTCCCTGCTGAGGTTTTGAGGTCCTGGGTGTGTCCCCGTTAGCAGTTTTGGGGTGTTTGGGTGTGTCCCCAGTCCCCACTGAGGTTTTGGGGTCCCGGCTGTGTCCCCGTTAGCAGTTTTGGGGTCCCCAGTCCCCGCTGTGGTTTTGGGGTCCTGGCTGTGTCCCCGTTAGCAGTTTTGGGGTGTTTGGGTGTGTCCCCAAGTCCCCGTTAGCAGTTTTGGGGTCCCCAGTCCCCGCTGTGGTTTTGGGGTCCCCAAGTCCCCGCTGTGGTTTTGGGGTCCCGGGTGTGTCCCCAGTCCCCGCTGTGGTTTTGGGGTCCCCGCCCCATCAGCAGTTTTGGGCTCCAGTTCCCGTCACTGCCTTTGGGGTTTTGAGGTTTTGGGGTTTGGGGCGTGGCCCCGCCCCCTCTCGCGGTTTTTGGGGTGTCCGGGCGTGGCCCCGAATCCCTTTTGGGGTTTCGGGGTGCCAGGGAGGGTCCCCAGCCCCCGTCACTGCTCTGGGGTCCCTTGGGGGTCCCTTGGGGGTCCCAGGGCCAGGCCCCAAATCCCTTTTGGGGTTTCTGGGGTGTCCAGAGCACCCCCAGACCCCGCTCCAGTTTTTGGGGTCCCTTTGGGGTTTTTGGGGTGTCCCCGGTTCCCATTCCCGTTTTTCGGGTTCCTTTTGGGGTTTTTGGGGTGTCTGGAGTGTCCCCAGTTCCTGTCACTGGTTTTGGGGTCCCTTTTGGGGTTTTTGGGCTCTCAGCCGTGTCCTGTCCCTGATCTCACTTTTGGGGTCCCTTTTGGGGTCCCTTTTAGAGTTTTTGGGGTGTTTGGAGTGTCCCCAGTTCCCATTACAGGTTTTGGGGTCTCTTTTGGGGTTTTTGGGGTGCCCGGAGTGCCCCCAGACCCCGTCCCGGGTTTTGGGGTCCCTTTGGGGTCCCTTCGGGGTTTTTGGGGTCCCTTTTAAAGGGGAGGGGTCTCAGGACCCCCCCCGATCACTGCGGGGTTATTTGGGGAGGGGTCTCCGCGCCCCCCAAATTATCGGGGGGGGGGTCGCCATCTCCAGGACCCTCCCCCAATTTTGGGACCCCTCCCCAATTTCGGGGTCCATTTTGGGGAGGGGTCTCCCCAGTCGGGACCAGTTGGATGTTCCCCCTCAGAGACCCCTCCCCATTTTTGGGGTCTCCCAGCGGATCCCCCCCCCATTTTTGGGCTCGTCCACGACCCCTCCCCAATTTCCGGGGCCTTTTGGGGTCGGGGTCCCGCCCCCTCCTCACCATTAAACCACTCCGAGCTTCCCCTCCTCAGAGACCCCTCCCCATTTTGGGGGTCTGGGGTCTCCCATCTGCCCCTCCCCCATTTCCGGGGGTCCTCCAGGCGCCCCCTCCCCAATTCCGAGCCCGTTTTGGGCGGAATTCGCCGCTTTTTCCCCACCGGGACCCCTCCCCTTCCTCCGCAGCCCGGGGGTCCCCCAGCGGACCCCTCCCCACATTTCAGCGCTCCGGGCTCCTCCAGGAGCCCCCTCCCCAATTCCGAGCCCATTTTGGGCAGAATTCGCCACTTTTTCACCACCACAAACCACCCCAATCTCCTTTTTTTCACCCAAAAAAATCCCAATTCCTGCACAACTCCCACCCCCTCCCCAAACTTCTTTTGGGGGGTGGTCGCACGCCCCCTCCCCAATTTCTGACACCTTTCCACCCTTTCCTCACCACTTCAACCTCCTTTTTTCATCCAAAAAATCCAAAACCCCAACTCCTCCGTAACTCCCACTCCCCAAACTTTTCCGGGGGGCCGTGGTCGCCCCCTCCCCAATTTCTGAGCTCCTTTTAAGACGTTTCCTCCCAAAAAAACCCCACTCCAATCTCCTTTTTCCCCAAAAATCCCAACTCCTCTTAACTCCCACCCCCTCCCCACTCTCTAAACTTTCCCGGGGGGGGGTTTCTGACGCCCCCTCCCCAATTTCTGATGCTCTTTTGAGACCTTTCCACCCTTTCCTAACCACTCCAATCTCCTTTTTTTTCCCCCAAACCCCAACTTTTCTTAACTCCCGCCCCCTCCCCACTCTCTAAACTTTTCCGGGGGGTTCTCACGCCCCCTCCCCAATTTCTGACGCTCTTTTGAGGCCTTTCCACCCCTTCCTCATCAAACCAACCACTCCAATCTCCTTTTTTCCCTCAAAATCCCAACTCCTCCGTAACTCCCATCCCCCGAACTTTTCCGGGGGGGTTCTCACGCCCCCTCCCCAACCCTTTCCACCCTTTCCTCCCCAAACCAACCACTCCAATAGGATTGGAACAACGGGGGATCCTGATAACAGGTGAGTGCGATAACGGGGAGCGTTCATAACAGGGGATCCTAATGATGAGGGAGCCCAAAAACGGGAGATCCTGATGACAGGAGAGCCTAATACTGGGGGACCCCAAAGTGGGAGATCCTAATAATGGAGGATTGGAATAATGGGGGATCCTGATAACGGGTGAGTGTGTTAATGGGGAGCGTTAATAACGGGAGATCCTAATGATGGGGGAGCCTAATAACGGGAGATACTGATAATGGGGGATCCTGATAACAGGTGAGTGCAATAACGGGGAGCGTTCATAATGGGAGATCCTAATAACGGAGGAGCCTAAAAATGGGGGACCCCAAAAGGGAAAATCCTAATAACAGGGGATCCTGATAACAGAGGATTGGAATAATGGGTGAGTGCGGTAACTGGGAGTGTTAATAATGGGGGATCCTAATAACGAGGGATCCAAATAATGGGAGATCCTGATAACGGGGGACCCCAAAATGGGGGATCCTAATAACGGAGCAGGCTAATAACAGAGGATCCTAATAATGGGGGACCCCAAAATGGGAGATCCTGATAACAGAGAATTCTAACAATGGGTGAGTGCAATAATGGGGACTGTTAATAACAGGGGATCCTAATGATGGGGGAGCCTAATAATGGGGGATCCCAGTAATGAGGGATCCTAACAACAGGAGATCCTAATAATGGGGGAAGATCCAGAATGGGGGATCAGGATAATGGGAGAGTGCGTAATGGGGGACCCCAAAACGGGGGATCCTAAAAATGGAGTGTCCTAATAACGGGGGATCCTGATAACGGGGGAAGATCCAGAATGGGGGATCAGGATAATGGGAGAGTGCGTAATGGGGGACCCCAAAACGGGGGATCCTAAAAATGGAGTGTCCTAATAACGGGGGATCCTAATAATGGGGGATCCTAATAATGGAGTGTCCTGAGAATGGGGGATCCTAATTATGAAAGAGCCCAAACCGGGAGATCCAAAAAAGGCAATGCTAACGAGGGAGGAATCTTAATAACAAGATGTAATGAGGGGCCCTAATAGTGGGGGAGCCCATTAATGGGGAGCCCTAATAATGAGGAATCCTAATAATGGGGGACCCTAATAACATGGGACCCTAATAACGGGGGACCCTAATAACGGGGGATCCTAATAACGGGGGAGCCCAATAACGAGGAATCCTAATAATGGGGGAGCCTAATAATGAGTGAGCCCATAATGAGGGTCCCCAAAACAGGGGATCCTATAACGGGGAACCCCAATAATTGGGGACCCTGAAAATGAGGGATCCCATAAATGAGGAAGCCCCACAAGGAGGGGATCCCATAATGAGGGACCCCCAAAATGAATCCTAATAGTGAGGGATCATGCTAATGAAAGAGCTGAAAACGGGAGATCCAAAAAAGGCAATGCTAATGAGAGAGGAATCTTAATAACGGGGAAGCGGGTAATGAGGGGTCTTAATAACGAGGGACCCTAATAATGGGGGATCCTAATAACAAGGAATCCTAATAACGGGGAGCCTTAATAATGAGGGATCCTAATAACGGGGGATCCTAATAACATGGGAGCCCTAATAATGAGGGAGCCCATAATGAGGGGCCCCAAAACAGGGGATCCTATAACGGGGAACCCCAATAATTGGGGACCCTCAAAATGAGGGATCCCATAAATGAGGAAGCCCCACAAGGAGGGGATCCCATAAAGAGGGACCCCCAAAATGAGGGGAGCCCATAACGGGGGAACCCCCAGAGTGAGGGACCCCCCAATAACGAGGGACCCCCCGAGCATCCCCATCGGGGCGCCCCCAAAATGAGGGACCCCAATAACGGGAGACCCCCAAAATGAGGGACCCTCCCCGAGCCCCCCCTTTTGGGGCACCCCCGAACTTTGGGGGCCTCAATTTGGGGCGACCCCGGCTCTGCCCCCCCAAATTGGGGGGGTCAGGGAAGGGTCCCTGCCCTGCTGCCCCCTCCCCATTCCCGGGGTCCCAAACTCCCCCGGAAGAGCCCCCTCGACCCCAAATAGGGACCCCCACCCCAAAAAGGGGGGCCTGGCCACCCTGGGCTCCTCAGAGCCCCCAAAAAGGGGGGGGTCCCGTTCAGAGGGGTCCCCAGCCCCATTTGGGGGTCCCCAGCCCCATGTGGGGGTCCCCCAGCCCCATTTTGAGGGGTTCCCTCAAAACGCGACCCCCCAGGGGTCTCTCAAGGGGGTCTCGGACCCCAAAATCGGGGTCACCCCTTCGGGGGTCCCTCAGCCCCATTCCCGGGGGTCCCCCCCGCCCCATCGGGGGAGCCCCAAACTCGGGGTGCCCCCCCCACCCAAAGCCCCCCCAAACCCCGCGATCCTGGCGGGGGGGGTCCCGGAGGTACCAGGGGGTCTGGGGTCGGTCCTCGGGGGGTTTTGGGGGGTCCTGGGGGGCTGGGGTCCGTTCCCGTGGGGGTTTCGGGGTTCCCGGGGGGTCTTGGTGGTTCTGGGGGGGTCCCTGGTCTCGGTCCCCAAGGGTCGAGGTTCGGGGGTCCCGGGGGTCGGTGCCACCCAGGGATGCCGGTCCCGGGGCTCGGGGGTCCCGGTGCCGGGGGGAGGGGGTCCTCACCTGGTGCTCGGTTCGGTGTCCTGGGGGCTCGGTGGTCCCGGCGGTACCGGGCTGGCTCCGGGGGTCCCGGGGGCTCTTGGTGCTCCCGGTGCCGGTACCGGGGGTGGGTTCGGTGGTCCCGGGGGCTGTCCCGGTGCTGTCCCGGGTGGTCCCGGGCCCCGCGCGGTGCCGGTGCCGGTGCCGGGGGCTCGCGCGGCGCGCGCGGAGCCTTAATTGGTAACGAGAGGAGCGAGTGTCCGTTCCCGTGGGGGGTTTCGGGATTCCCGGGGGGTCTTGGTGGTTCTGGGGGGGTCCCTGGTCTCGGTCCCCAAGGGTCGAGGTTCGGGGGTCCCGGGGGTCGGTGCCACCCAGGGATGCCGGTCCCGGGGCTCGGGGGTCCCGGTGCCGGGGGGAGGGGGTCCTCACCTGGTGCTCGGTTCGGTGTCCTGGGGGCTCGGTGGTCCCGGCGGTACCGGGCTGGCTCCGGGGGTCCCGGTGCCGGTACCGGGGGTGGGCTCGGGGGTCCCGGGGGCTCTTGGTGCTCCCGGTGCCGGTACCGGGGGTGGGTTCGGTGGTCCCGGGGGCTGTCCCGGTGCTGTCCCGGGTGGTCCCGGGCCCCGCGCGGTGCCGGTGCCGGTGCCGGGGGCTCGCGCGGCGCGCGCGGAGCCTTAATTGGTAACGAGAGGAGCGAGCCCCGCCCCGGGGGGGCCGGGGGCGGGCGGG